CTCCGGAACCGTGGTTCCACTGACAACTTTTTAAAAGTCATAATTTTCTCTCCAAAAATTGTATAAACTTGCATTTTTGAAAACGGGATTATGGCTCCTTTCATTCTTTTATTCAAACATCTGACAACACAGTGAGACCATTATAAAGTACTAGAAATAAGGAGTTAAATTTCCCACAAACCGTCTTTCCATACCTCGTTTTATTGAGCTTCGCAGATATTGCTTCTTTTATAAATTGAAGGTTTGTGGCAACTCTTCGTCGAGCAAGTCTATCGGCGCCATTTTACTACGCCATTTACATAGATCAGTTGTTTCAGGAAGCTGTGTTGGATCCAAAGGAGAGTTGACACTAACCTCATTGTTAATAAACTGCTGAATGTTGGCTTCTTGAGTGGCGTCGAAAAATCCTCCGTGAGAATGTGGACCAAATTCTGTCGAACCAAAATCTGGAAGGCCGCAGTTTTCTGTGCTCACATAATTTTCGTTCTTTGACTTCTTCGCAAGCGATGAAAACATTTCTACAAGTAATTTCCTTTTCGTCCTTGGGCCAGCCTGTTGATGTGCTTGAATACTGAAGCTCGACATGTCTACCGACGTTTCGGTGTTCATTAGTTTCTTCGTCGATGTCCACCGTCAAGATAAAATGAAGAGAATGAAATTTCCTAGTAATTCACACAAGAAAAGTACTTGAGTTATTTTGAAAGGTATTTAACAACACAAAATTATCTAGTTCACGAAGCACTTCATCTACAACCGATTCACAGGACAATTCTTTCCACAATGACGAAAGCCGATTGTTGCATGCTCAGCCGACATTGTTGCAGGTGTGCTTTAGAAATTCCATTTTTTTTATATTGTTGAAAATACGGAAGGGTCATTCGGCAAAAAAGTTACAGTGGAACCACGGTTCCGGAGAATTTGACGTAAATACGTCTATACCGTAAGGAGTTTATATAGTGGCTTTATTCTAAATATATTCTTTATACACGCTTTACAATTGATTAAAGTTTGAGTAAGACAGTACTGCCTAACTTGAATTAGTTACGCTTAAGATGGGTCTGTGCTAGCTGAAATATGTTATAAAATTTGTACATTTTAGAGTATCAACATATCGTGCAAACACCATATCTATACAACTAACGCAACAATAGATTTCTTAATAATTCTTATATAAGATAAGTACCTGTGATATTGTAAAACGTTTTTAACAGCACAATATTATCTACTCTACGACGCACTTCTTCTACAAGCGATTCACAGCAGAGCTCTTTCCGCAATAACGAAAGCGGATTGTTGACGGCAGTAATGTAACACAACAATGTCAAGTAAACAGATGAAGTTTCCTAGGTAACATAACAATACATGCAAGCTGACCATTGTTGTCAGTCCATATTTACAAATTGTTGATATTTCCTAGGTAACCATCTTACACATTTTCCTGTCACTTTTTTGTAACACTTTTTTGTGGAATGACCCTTCCATATAGACGTATTTACATCAAAATAATGACAAAAGATGTCAGTTGACAGTTGAGCAGCAGGTACATACGTTTTGAGAACAAAGTTCTACTTAAAGAGTTTTGAATGACACTGGAAGAACAAGCTCCAATATGATTTAAAAAACTAACCCAAAGAAAGAGTTGCTTATGAAGATTTCTAGAACTGAAAATTCTGTTTTAAAGTACTTGTAACAGACCAAATACTGCAGAACATGTGATGTCAATATTTATGTTACAAGTTCTGTAGCTCACTTCAATTTCTTTTTATACCTCATAACAGTTCCAAACTTCAGGATGGATCAAACTCAATATGGCAGACCCATACAAAATTTTGTCAAACAATTTTCATCTTCAGTTTATTTATGGACCTAAAATAGCCATGTGTATTTTTAAAATTATTTAGTCAATTTTTATGAAACCTGCACTTTTATTATGAAGTGTTTGACGACAGGTCAGGTCCATATGAACAGGATCCTTCTTCCATCCTTTTCTCGGACTGGGATCTGTTCATATACGTTCTTGGCAGATGATTCAGAAGTGGTTTGCCATTGCCTTCTTCTGTGTGTGAATGGAGTAATTGTTGGGATGCCACGGAGAAACCGGGGAAGCCCCCGGAGGAAAACTCCGTGTTGCCTAGACCACGGCCTTGCCCAACACAAGTTATAAATACGGAAAACCGCCGGGAATCGAACCCGAGACCCCAGGATTACAAGGCCAGCGTTCTAACCACTAGACCACCGTGGCGGTTTAGGCTATTGATACAGCACACAAATAATAAAGAATTGAATTGAATTACATTACATTCAGCTACCTTCCTTTCATTGTATTTATTGCTTAAATACAGAGACGTATTTACGTCAGATTCTCTGGAACCGTAGTTCCACTGTCAATTTTTAGTTAAAAAATACAAAGAGAATTACTCCAAGTTATAATTTTTTACATTCTATCATAAATGTAAGAAGTCAATAATTAATATTAAATATTTTATCTGTAAAAGGAAATCAATTTAAAAGTTATGATAAGAGGCTTGAAGTAAATTTTGCAATTTAATTGTCCCATGTTTAAAAATAACATCGTGTTGTATTATACTTTTGACGTAAATACGTCTATATTTTAGGGTCAGTGTCATTCGGCAAAAATGTAACGAAAAAGGGAAACGAAAATTTGTAACTTCATTGTTATGTTACCTAGGAAACGTCAAACTTCATTG